GTTTAAAAGGATACTATCAAACACAATTTAGCTTCAAACCTAACATTTTTACAAAATTTTAAAATTCCATAAAAATGATTTTTTCCTCTGTTTTTCAGAAAAAATGTATTGGTTTAGAGTTGTTGAAACCCAATAATTGCAGCATTGAGAACCTTTAATTGAAATGTATATAAATTTAGAGCTGGTAATTGGTACTCTTTTTAGCAAAATTTTTTTGTTGGTACTGTTTTCAAAATTGTAGATGTGGTGTGACTGGAGCAGTTTAAAGATTTGTGCTCAGTTTGCCAACTTGCTTTAGTTAGGAAAGAGAGACAAATGAACTATTCAAAAAATGTTGAAATGTTTTGCCTGGGAAGTTTTTAAAATGAAACATTTTTATTTTTTTCTTTTGTTTTACTAATCTATTTGGAAATTTGTTTCAGTTTTATTTAAAAAGGTCAACAATTACATTGTTTAGTTTTAGTTAAACTGCTTTTAGTTAAACAAATGCTTTGTCTGAATTTCTTGACTTTGCAATTTCCCTACAAATTTGAGATATTGATGTGTTGGGTAGACCTGAACAGTTTCCCTCCAACATTTTCAGGATAGCATTTGAAAAGCAACAGGAAAACTGACTTAATTGGATTATCTTTATCCAACCAAATGTGAACAGAACATACATCATTACAATCAAATATATTTTCAATGATTCTCTCACTTTTAATACTCTCAAGTTATGTTACTTATATCTGTCAAACATGCAGCACATTGATAGTGCCTCTCTAAAACAATTCCAGTCCATTAGCACTCGTGGTACAGATGCTGATTATAATTTTGTGATTCTTTCTTTCTGATTGGGAAAACAAACCAAATGAGTGCCCATGTATGCCAAGCCTCAAGCAAGCAGTATGGTGCAGCACACCTGGAAATAATGACCATGTCTTTTTTTTTTCTCTCACTCCTCTCTAGAATACCATCCAGCCTGATCGTGTTACGTACTACATGGTGCAAAAAACAAAAGAAAAAGCACCTTTTTTAACCCATGCAGCAACACCTCATCAAACATATGCTGAAAATCCCCCAGGGAGGGCCTTCAGCCAGCCTCAGCCAGACCTGTTCCCACCAGAGTCGGAAGCAGAGTTTGACAGAAAGACAGTGATAGCAGCACTAGATGAGTACATCACCCAAAAGATGGCAGCACAAAACAATGATCAAAGCACCGTTGGGAGGACTAAAGGGCCTAGCCTTTATGCTGATAGGTTCCATCCCTCTCACAGCCATGGTTTTGATGGAACTTTAGCTACAGAAGAGGCAGAAGATTTTAGCATGAAGCAGCCGTTGCGACTGAGGCCAGGTGCTGGAGAGCAAGGGTCAAATTCAGAGAGGCTGAGTTATAAATTTGCTTTTCCCCAGGGAAATCCAAAGGATCCTCTGAGTGCAGTGGATGGTAAGATTTATATTTATTTTACCTTATTTGAAGCATTTATCCTGTGCTGTAGATGCTTTTTCAAAAAACGGGAATAGTCATAAGAACTAAACACCAATAGAATACGCCCGTCTCTTCCCACTGAGGTGCTTGTATTTATCTACTTCTGCAATCACAGTCATAACAGGTACTGGCCTGACCATCCTTTTCTTGTATATTTCCATCATTCAACTGATCAAATAATAAATTCCTGCGTTCAGTAATACTGATCACTTACATAATTCTCTATATTTTTCAAGCCATAAATAATTATGGAAAATTATCTGTGATCAAATCAGTTTTCATGAATGTCTTTTATCTCATTTTGCATAGTTAGGTAAAATTGTCTACTTTTTGGGGGGGTCTTTTGTTTTCTCTATTTAGCTAGAAATTTAAAGACTGAGGGTGAAATCAAAAGGTAGCTGAAAGAAATCAGAATGCAACGTTACATTTGTCTAAACTTTGGGACTAAGCATGTGAAAAGGAAGCGTGTCAGTTTAGTTAGGCCTATGAGATGGAAGAGAGACAAAACATGGGGTTATAGCTAGAGGTTTTTGTGCAATTAATTGTACATA